ATCAACCTTCTCCACCATCAAGTTATATTCATATTTTTTCAAGGTAAAGTGTAACATTTACTGTATGATTTCATTATTAGATATGAATGTAACATTTATTTAGACTGTGCTATCCTTTGTGTTAGGCTAACTACGAAATTTTTTTCGATTTCGAGTAATCTGCACCTAACCCAATTTTCTCCATAAGCCCTGTTATTTCTATTACGCGAATTTCTATAACACGATGTTTTACAAGAACACAACTATCGCGTGATAGCAGAACTGACAGTATTTCTCTTTATTATTAATTGTGTGTGCATTAGGGGGCAGTGAAATTTTGCTCAAAGCTGCACTCTTCAGGCATTGTTCCTTATACATATCTAAGACTCCATGCCAAATTTGAAGCTGATATGTCGAGGTTTAGTCTGCCGCATTTTCTACTGAAATTTTTAAATTTACCTACAGTACTAGTGATTATGCTGGAGCTGCCATTGCTACTGCCACCTTAACTGACTATGGCATTATCACAAAGGATGACAAGAGTCTGGTTATTGGACCACATAAGCTGCGGGATGCGAGACAAAAATACCGATTTAAGAGGCAAGAAATTGAGATGGCTAGTTTAGATAATTTGACGTCACTCTATTTTGATGGTAAGAAGACCGCCACTCGTGTGATGATAAAGAATGAGAAGACCGAGAAATGGAGTTCGAGGATGATGGTGAAAGATCATTATGTCATCATGGTTGAGCCTGGCAATGAATATCTCACACATGTGACTCCCAAGACTGGACACGGAAAGCAGATTGCCAAAACTATTCACGAGTTTCTGGTGGAGAAAAATCTAACCCAGCAGCCCATTGTGTGTGTTGGTTGTGATGGAACCAATGTAAATGTAGGATCAGAAAATGGAGTCATTCATCATCTTGAAATGTTACTTGGTCACCCGCTCCATTATTTCATATGTCAGCTTCACGGAAATGAGCTGCCTTTCCGCGCAGTTTTTTATCACTATGATGGTAAACCAAGTGGTCCTGAGCATTGGCGTGGTCCCATTGGAAAGCAGATCAAGGAGTCTTTGTCTGAGCTTCCAGTTGTCGCCTTCCAGCCAGTCAGTTTCCCTGATTTCCCTGTGTTTAATGATGAAGTGGAGAAAGATCTGTCCTGGGATCAGAAATACCTGTATAGGATTTGTAAAGGAGTTATCACAGGTGTTGTTGAAGATGACTTGGCTGCTATTGAGCCAGGTCCTCCCTGTGTGTCAAGGTGGAACACCTTATGGAGTAGAATCCTCAGGCTGTATGTAGCAACATCAAGACCCAGCCATGAGTTGAAAAGAATTGTCATTACAATAATAAAGTTCAGTGCTCCAATGTGGTTTTACATCAAGATACACCCTTACGTAACACACGGCTCAAGGAACGTATTCCAGTCCCTGCTATATATGAAACACCTGAATAGTGAGGAGGAGACGATAGTGAAGAAGGCTGTCCAGAGAAATGCATACTTCGCCCACACAGATCAACTTCTTCTTGGTATGTGTGCAGATGAGGACATGACTGTTAGAGAAAAAGCTGTCTCAATGATAAGAAAAATTAGAGAGGAGAATCAGCAAAAGGAAGAATGCACTGGCAGATCTGAAGAGGAGGAGGAAGATTCTGATGCTGCTGTTGACGAGAATTTGTTAAACTATACTGATGAGGAGGGTAAAGATGGAGATGGGAATGAGGATGTGCCTCCTGTAGTCAACATGAGAAAGGTGGTGACTCCGAAACTAAAGTGGCAAGCAAAAAACTATCATTCCATGATTAACTGGAGGAATGAACTCAAGACTGAGCCTCCTTACATTGCTTCTCTGTCAAATCTACAGGTTAATGACATTCTTGAGACACCATTAGTGGTGCCCAAGTGGCCAAACAGCACTCAGGCGGTCGAGAGAGGCATAAAAGTGATGACTGAAGCTTGCACTGAAGTGACGGGATACGAATCGAGAGATGGATATATTAGGCAAACATTATTGTCTAGGAAAATGATGCCAAGGTTCCGCACAAAAAAGAATTTCAATATGAACTTGTAATGATTTTCTATACGGTGTACCTGTAAAATAACATGTGAATTAAATCGATGTCACCCATGTAAAATTTATCATTATCCTGGAAAACATTAAATGACACATTAATTTTTGGTATACTGTACACTAAAAGTTGACAAAAAGTCGTTCGCGATGCGGCAGGGTAAGTATGCATGAAATGGCATGAAATTTTGCACAGGTGTTTGTTACAGCCATACAAACGATGCCTGAAAAGTGCAGCCTGCAACTCAAATAAAAGTGTTTTTTCCCTGCCCCCTAGTGTGCATACCATCATAAAATAAAGAAGTTATTTTTACTAAAACGTAGGTACAGTGGGGTATGCTGCAACGAATGGATCCTACTACGAATATTCCTATAACGAATGGTTTTACCTATAAAATTGAGAATGCTATAACGAATGCAACTCCTACAACGAACACGGATGAATACGGGACTATTTCGTCTGGCGCATGAATATTGTTGTACCGCGACCCACAACAAGAGCGTCAGGCGCCATCTTTGTCTCATTGTGTAGCCAGTGCACCACTGTTATTGTTGAAATTTCGTCTTTTGATGTGGAAATACGAGTTATTTGTATAACTATTTTGTTATACAAGTGTACAATTGTAACAATGAATCGTCCAAAGCGAGTGAGAAAGCTCATAACCCTTGAAACTAAGAAATAAATAAAAAAGAAACGTGAGAATGGAACAAGCATTGCGAAACTTAGTGATGAATATGGGATGGCAAAATCGACTATATGTACGATTTTGAAGAATAAAGAGGAGTTGAAAACTGTGCAAGTGGCTAAGGGAATCTCTAGACTTAGCAAAGCAAGGTGTAATGTGATTGAGGAGATGGAAAATTTACTCTTAGTGTGGATAAAGGAGAAAGAAATGGCAGGTGATAGCATTAGTGAAGCTATAATTTGGGAGAAGGCCAGACAATTGTTTGAGGACCTTAGAGCCAAGACTCCCAGTGGAAGTGATAGTGATGTGCCAGTGTTTAGGGGTACCAAGGGGTGGTTTACTGGTTTCAGAAGAACAAATAAATTACACAGTGTTGTGAGACATGGTGATGCTGCTAGTGCAGATAAGGAAGCAGCTAAAGAACACCATGACATTTTTTTAATGTGATTAAAGAGGGAGGCTTTGTTTCTCAGCAGGTATTCAACTGTGATGAAACTGGACTTTTTTGGAAAAAAATGCCTCGCCGTACATACATTTCAAGAGAGGAAACTTCTGTCCCTGGCCATAAGCCAATGAAAGACAGGCTTACCCTCCTTCTTTGTGCTAATGCTTCTGGTGACTGCAAGATAAAACCACTCCTTCTGTACCATGCAGAAAACCCCAGAGCTTTCAAAAACATTAGGAAGAACCGCCTTGGTGTTATGTGGCGGTCAAACCCAAAGGCTTGGGTGACCAGGAGTCTTTTCTCTGAGTGGGTGATTGAGGTGTTTGGACCCAGTGTTCGGGAATACCTCAGGGAGAATAATCTTCCACTGAAAGCTCTATTGGTGATGGACAATGCACCAGCCCACCCTCATAATTTGATGGTTGAATTGCCAGAGGAGTTCAACTTCATCACTGTGCACTTCTTGCCACCCAACACAACACCTCTCATCCAGCCCATGGATCAACAGGTAACTTCTAACTTTAAGAAGCTGTACACAAAGGCACTGTTTAGAAAATGTTTTGCATCCACTTCTTCCAGTGATGTTAGTTTGAAGGAATTTTGAAAGTCACTTCAATATAGCAGACACTGTGTTTTTAATTGCGTCAGCCTGGAAAGAGGTTACGATGAGGAGTCTTTGTGCTGCTTGGAGGCCATTGTGGCCTGAATGTGTGCTTCAAAGAGACTTTGAAGGCTTCAAAGAGTTAGAGGAAGAGGCTGTTGTACATGAAATTGTGTCTCTGGGCAATTCCATGTTGCCTGGAAGTGGATGATGATGATGAGTTGGTGGAAGAGCACAGTAAGGAGCTGTCCACTGAGGAGCTGCTTGAGCTTCACAAAGAGGAAAATGAGACACTGAAGCGGCTTAACTTCTGGGGAGTCAGGGGAGGATGAGGACAAGGAGGAAAGCCGCATCATTCCAGCCAAAGATCTCAAGGATGTGTTCTTTTGTTGGAGCAAACTGTCTAAGCTTGCGGAGGATTATCATCCTGATGTTGGTTCTGTGGAAAAGGCCATCAGTGTGTTTAATGACAATGTGATGAACTACTTTTGGAAGGTCCAGAAATCAAGGATGAAGCAGCCAACCCTGGATTCCTTAAAAGTAGCGAAAGACCCTACAGACAAAGTGCCTGTAAGACAGTCACCAAAGAGGGCTAGGAAGGATGACTCCTCTCCTTCCCCCTCTTCTCCATAATTCTCTCCTCTGCCTCCTGTCCTGCATGCTGAACAACACTAAGGTAAGATAAAGTACCGTATTTTTTACATTTTCCACAGAAAATTTTCAGTGTTAAGTGGTTGTATTTGGGGGCCTGGGACGGATTAATCCTATAATGAACGAATGCTATGACGAACGAGGTTCTAGAACCAATTAGATTCGTTATAGCATACCCCACTGCATTGTGTCTGAAAAAGTGGAGTTTGGGGGTCGGCCCAGTCTCTATTTCAATTAATCCCATATGTTCTGTTGTTCCATTTACGCGTTTCCCGTTTTACGCGGGCCTCCGTGGGTTCAATTGACCGCGTAAATCGGGGTATTACTGTACAGGTAAAGGAAATTACTGTCTCTAGAACGAAAGGCTCCTTGTCCCAGCCCGCAAAAATGCTGGAAACTTTAAAACTACCCACAGACATTTTTGGGTACATCCAGTGTCATCCGCAAATAATAGAGGACCGCGAAATAAAAACACTTGAATTTGGGGGGCCCTTGTACAGTAATCTCTTAAATATTTTCTCAAACATGTCATACCAGAACACTGTTAAATACATTATGCCATACCTGTGCACTCTCGATCAGCTCTTTACTTGAGAAGTCATCAAAAGTACCAGCAGTTGTTAAATTTGATACATTGCTAATATTTACTCCATGATGTTCATCTTCATACATGTTGAATGCTCTCATGAAAATTGAGTTCCTCCCAGATGACACTGCATGGAGTGTTGTACCACGTTTTCGTCCACCCTGCAAATAATGTAAAATTAGTGATACAAGAGGGCTTCGTCATAAGAGTATTTGCTATCCGCAGTTACGTGGTCAAAATTTTGTGACCATCCACGCATTTAATTGGATTCCACTCAAAATCTTTGAAAACTCCGGATAAAATCGACGGATTTAAAACTCATAATGAAATCTACAGAATTTTAGCTAAAGCATTTGAGATTTCATACTCTTCCTGGCGTTATATATGCACACATGTGTCCCCACACCAGTATCCCACTTTGTTTCGTCCAGACCAGTGCTGTGTTGTGTTTACTCCTGCCTTTGTTGTCTTTTCATGCATGTTGCGGTGAATTATTTTATCATTTTTGTAGCCATGAGTTCACAACCCAAACAGGGTGGTGCAGTTCTCAAAAGGAAGCACACAGCTACATAGATGCAAAATTAGAAGTGATTAGGCAAAAGAAGAGTGGACAATCCACCTAGTCCCGTTTCTTTTTCATCCTCCATCACCCAACACCCACCACCATCAATCCAATCAAGCCAAACATTTCTACCTTTGAAGCTAAGTAAATAAAAATATTTTATCATGTTAAAATTATTTATTTTTAAAACATTATAACAAGTATTTTGTCGCAATGTAAGGGCGGAAACGATCCTCCGGCTGGTTACCGCTGCTAACTCGCTCGTTTGCTGGTGCAGACGACACTTGGGGTGGTTGGACGGAGGTGAGAACGGCAGCAACTATCTGCGGCACCGGCAGATTCAACCCAGCCGCCATACCGTCGGTATCTAGCTACCCTGCTGTCCGTCAAATTCTGGCTGTGATTTCATCATAGGTCCTGGACTCGTGGGCTGTGTTCCCAGACCTTCACCTATCAACTGCCAACTCTCTGGTCATCTACCACTACCGCATACCACGACCATCAGTTCATCACATTCCGTCGGTGCCCCGGTGTTCTCCTGCATTTTCAAGACGTCGCTGAGTGTGGAGTCGAAGTGGACGTTTCGTTACCCTGAGTGTGCATCACCGTGTTCCAGAACCTTCCCCCAGGGCCACTGCCGTAGGAAATATTTGTTCATGGTTTGATTCTATAATTGTTTGATTCCATTAATTGTTTGACTCCCGTAATTATTTGATGTTGTTGAGTGGTGTCAGAGTTTTGTGTTATATTTTTATAGTAAAGAGATGCCAATCTCAAACGGTTGTTTGTTATTCCTCAGAAAACCATGGTCCTTGACTTTCCTTTATTAAGATCCTGATTAGCCTGGTAAGGGATTTCTATCCCTAAGTCCTAGGCCTTTACACTCAATGAACCACTGGAGTGAGTGTGCACCAGCATCAGTTGCTGTGGACCAACACACGAACCCCAATGAACTTTAATGGCGTTAAATAACTTACAAAGTGAGAGGTCTGAATCATAGACGACGTTCTTTGTAGACTTTATTCTTACAGCGTCAGCTGGTGACTCCAACCCGGCGCTGCCACAGACAAGCTCCCACCTCAACACATCGGAAAACATATCGTACGATGGTACTCCATTTCACAATCTTACATCTCCACCCCCCCCCCCAAGTTAAAAGGAAATGACAATGCATATTTCAACTAACAAAAGGAAAACAATGAATTCATAAAAACAACAATAATGCAAGAAAAACCAGTCAAACAAAGAAAAAAAAAACAAAAAAAAACCTTTAAACTAATTTTACATCACATACACTACACCACGTAGTCCATCAACCAGCCCGGGGGCCTGCGGCCTCTCCTCGGCCTGGCCACGCTCGACTGGGGAGGGGCCGGGGGTGCGAACGAGGGCACGGGTACGGAGGGCACAGCAGAAGGGGGCCAAGAGGCATAGCTTGGTGCACCACCGGAGTAGTAGGCACAGGTGTGGCGCCGTTTCGCAGGTGGTGTCTGTTGCGGATGGACACCCTGCCACTGCCAATCAACCTGACGGCATACTGCCTGTGAGGGCGGGCTTCCACCACTATGCCTGTCCTGTCCCAGAGTTTGGTAGCTGCGTCGTGCACACGCACCTGCGTGCCCACGGCTAGGGGAGCCAGCTGGCGGGACACCTCCCCCCGCGACAGAAGGACCCCGTCCTGGGTTTCGGCCAAGCGCACCTCCCTCATACGAAGTGCCCGCCGCCAGTGCTGGTCCACCTTATAGTACTGTCTGGCCACGGGAACGCCGTCACGGAGCTGGCGGCCGGTGGCAAGTTGGGCGGGCGACTTGTTCACCCCCCGCAGAGGCATGTTCAGGTACTACAGGAGGGCCTGGGATGTCCTATCGCAGTCCAGGCTACCCCCGGGCCCAGTGTTATCCCTGAGGAGCCTCTTGGCGACCTTGACCCCAGCCTCTGCCTTGCACACCTCGACCCCCCATGACTTGAGGAAATCTGTCATCTCAAGGCTGGCAAGGTTGGTACCTCCATCCGTGGAGATCTGCTCAGGTACCCCCCACCTCGTGAAGTAGGCCCGCAGACGGGCGATGATTTTTCCAGAGGTGGCCTCGTTGGGGAAGTGGGCGATCTCCAGTCAATCTGTGAGTCGGTCAGCATATGCTAGGTATGTGTGGCCCTGCAGGTGGAACAAATCGGCCACCACTTGTTGAAAGGGATAGTCTGGTGCTGGGGTCAGAACCAACGACTCCGGAGGCTGGGAAGGGGCATGGGTTTCGCAAGCAGCACACCGGGACCGATGATACTGCAGGTCACCCTCCATGCCAGGCCAATAGACAGACTGCCGGGCCAGTCTGAGCATTGAGTCGAGGCCAAGGTGCCCCACGAGCAGGTTAACGGCGACCCGGTGGCGGAAGGAGTCGGGGATGACAAGGCGCACGCAGCCCTGGTCAAAGGTGTAGGTGACCAAACCCCCGACCACAGTCAACCTGTACCTCACCGAGAAGTACGGGCGCAGACAGGCCACCTCCTGTGACTTGTGAGGGCGCCAGTCGCCCGCCAGCACCCTCGACACTAGAATCTGGTATACTGGGTCATCTGCAGCCGCTTTGCACACTGAGTCTTCGTCCATTGTGATGCACCCATCCTGATCCAGTGCTGCGATTGTGACTGTACACACTGCAGTGCACAGGTCCTCCTCTTGGTCCATGTCCTCCGAGTCGGGCGCTGCCCTGAGGAAGGGGAAGCAGGATAGGGCATCAGCTGCACAGTTCCGCTTCCCTGGCAAGTACTTGACCGTGAACCAGTACTGCAGGGTCTTCTCCTTGAGCCCAAACAGGCGCGAATTTGCCACATCTGCGAGGGCTCTGTCCCCTAGCAAGCCAACTAAGGGGCGGTGGTCCATCACCAGAATGAGGTTCGGGCAGCTAAGGAGGATCAGCCTGGCCTTGTGCAGGCACCATACCACAGCCAGGGCCTCCTCTTCCACTGCAGCGTAGCCGGCCTCGGCCGTGCTCAGATGTCGGCTACAACACAGAGCCAACCGCCACCCTTCCCTGCAGCAGAAGGGCATCTCTGGAGAGGCACAGGCACAGTATTGTTGCAGGACGACGAAACCAATGCACTCCCTGCTCCAATCCATGACAGCTGCCATAGGCCTGGATTTGTCGTAGTACATCAAGCCGTCCCTGGCCAACTGACAGATGGTGTCCTGGACCTGGCGAAACTTGAGCCGCAGCCGGTCGTCCCAATACATCCGCTTGCCCACTGGCTTCTTGAGGAGCTCACGGAAGGGCTCCAACACAGGTGCAGTGGCAAGGAAGGGAGCCAACTGGTTAACCAGGCCGTGCCAGGACCTGATGTCAGTGATTGATGGCTGATCAGGCATGGTGAAGTCCTTGATGGCTGGTAGAGGTCCCACTCCAGGAGGAAACCCACAAACTCGGCTTCTCTCCTACAGAACAAGAACTTTTCTGGTTTCAGTGTGATACCTGTGCGAGCGCAGGTCTCCAGAAAATCGTAGGTGTGCCAGAACGCCCCCTTCACACTGGAGTCATAGAGGAGAGTGTCATCCACGCACTTGTACTAGTGGGGCACATCCTGAATAGAGTCGTCAAAGCTCTTGGTGTAGGCATCTGACGCTGAACAATGTCCCAAGGGCATCCTGCAGTATCGAAAACGGCCCCACGGCGTGATGAATGTGATCAGGCGTCTACTCTCCTCCTCCAACTCCACCTGATGAAATCCCCAAAAGGCGTCGGCGACGGTTTTGAACGAGTGCGCTGGCACCCTAGATATCATGTCGAATGGTGCAGGTCTGTGGTGCGTCTCCCTTAGACAGCTTCCATTGAGGCGTTGGAAGTCTACCACGACAATCCTGGAGCACCACTCCGTAGCCTCACCAGCAGGCACTGGCTGGATGACGCCTCTCCTGACGTCCTCCTCCAACTGGGCCTTCACCTCCGCTTACCAGTGTTTCGGAATGGGAGCAGGTGAGTGACGGGCTTAGGGGGTTGTGCCGGGCATCAGGTGGATACGGCGAGGGGGACCAGTCATGACTGGCAGTGGGGACCTGCTGGTGTTGAATGCGGTCGATGAAAAGTGCATGAGCAGCCATGCCTCCAACCTGGCCACATTCCCCTCCAAAGGAAGCAAGGGTATCTCAACTGGCCTCGGCGGGAAACGACTGCTCTCAGGTAAAGGGTTCGGAGGTAGGTCGTCGGCAGTGTGCCGCTCCCTTCCATCGCCCACGGCAGCCACAGCATGTCTATGGAGCGGGAAGTCGACAGGCACCAAGTTGAGGCACTTGCAGGCCTCCAATGACAGGTAGAGGGCCTTCGCTGTCTGCACGAAGTAGACCTCCTGGACGGTGGACCCCTCGCCCACACTGAGGCGGCAGGGGGCGGACCCCGGACACTTGAGCTGCTTGTTCGCCACTTCCCTCAGGCCATTACGGGCCCAAAGTTGCTCCAGACACAAACCGAGGTCCCAGAGCAGAGATGGCCCTGCCACACACACCATAGCACCTGTGTCAGCCACAGCCAGCACAGGGGTGGCGGGGAAATTGCCCCCAGCCTGGGTCACGAACACTTGTAACCTGGGGTGGCGGGATAGCTGGGCTGT